ATGGGTCAAATCGTGGGGTGATAGAGGCATACTGAGTGATAGACAAAGATTGTCCAGCATCTGTGTAGATAAGGGGAAGAGAAGAGGAAGTGAAGACAGAAGATAAGAGGGAGGCATTACGAGTCATATGAAAGGAACAGTCAGAGTCAAAAATCTAGAGATCATTTATACCAGAGATCGAAGGGTTGGTTGAAGAACCATCAAGACGTATACCAGAGAGTTGTGTAGTAGATGTAGAGGCTCTATGTTGAAGAGCATCAATTTGATGTCGAATATCAGAGAATTGTGCAGCAGATGGAGAAATGGTATGCTGAAGAGCTGCAATTTGACGGCTAATATTTGCATTAGCTTGAAAAGTCTCAATTTGACGGCGAATATCAGAGAGTTTTGCAGCAGATGGAGAGGTGGTATGTTGAAGAGCCGCAATTGACGGCTAATATCTGCAATAGCATGAATGGTAGGGTCTGAAGTGGTAGATGACATAGCATTAACTGGTAATCCTGGTGCACTAGAGATCAGGATTGAGGGGATCGCTGACTTCGACCGGTTCCTGAGGAACATAACCCAGGATGAAGCTAGAAACATGTCTTAAAGCGGTGTCCCTCCTTCTTACAATATGTGCAAAAGAGCTTAGACCGAGCCTGAGAAGCAGGTGCCAGTGAAGAGGCCATAATAGCAACAATTCAAAGTTCAAGATAATAATCCTTGAACGAAACCCGAATGTTTAAAGGAGAACCCGAAGTTTAATATAGAAACCCGAAGGTTAAAATGTAAGAACCCGAAGGTTAAATTTGAACCCGAATGTTATACATGACTGTCAAATCTGAGGAAAAAAAACATAACCGGCGACCAAGGTGGCCCGAACATCGGCCGGATCTGATGCTTACGCCGGAGACCTACAACGGATTAATACCGATATTGAGACGTTGAGACGCCGAGATGGATTGAAACGGCTATGCTATTACTGACTGTGAAACGGCAATGTCATTAGTTTGAGGCCGTGAGACAGCTTGAAAAGGCGATGCCGTTAATTTAAGACTGAGAGACGTTCTTGAATACGAGAACATGAAACACGTTAAGAGGCCGCAAAACGACAAAGCCAAAAATCTGGCAAAGGAACGCAAAAAAAAGGCGTTAAACGACTACAAAGCAGCAATGCTAAGATTTCGCAAAAGAACGCATAAGCGTTAAAAAATTTATTGGAAGGGAAATAATAATCTTAGCTCTGATACCATGTTAAAATAAGAGAGAGAGTCTTGGGTAAATTTTCCTTAAGTTGAATATTGAGTGTGCACATATATGTATACAAGTAGAGCATGGTGAGGTGTGTTCTCACAACCAATGTGGGACTAAAAACCCACTACTAACACTATTATCAACATACATGGACTTGTATACCATATTTATTACTTTTTTGAGAAAATTTTAAGATTATCAATGTAGAAAACTAGTCGGTACTAGACTAATTTTCTAGTTAACTTAATTAATAAAACAATTGTCTCTATATAGGTTTCCAAGGATGAGGTGGTTCATTGGGGCGTAAGGATGAAGTAGTGCCATACACCGTTAGTCTTAGTCCCACATTTAGTTATTATATGTTATGTTAACATGAAAACATGTGTAGGTAAGGGCTAATGATGACTAACGCGGACAGCAAAATATGAAGACGGTGCGTCAACAAGCCCCCCGCCCCCCCCCCCCCACCCCACCCCAACACAACGAAACAAACAAAAAAAAAAAAATGTAAAAAAAACCTTATACCGCGTTGGTTAGCATGTAAAGAGAAAAAAAAGGAAGGATAAAATTTTGTTTAGCATGTAAATGTGGTCGTATGTGTAATGAGTGAGTGAGAGAGCAGGTCTTATTTAAAATTAATAGTGAGAGCACAATTCAAAATGAAAGGAAAAACATGGATCTTTGAATTGGTTAAAATAATAGTGATCTTGCAATAAATTTATAAGGTAATATGGTATATGTTTCGCATAATTCATGCATGGATCATCTTAAGCAAATAGACCCATGACTCATTTTACTGATAAAGATTTTATGATAAAAAAACTTCTGTAGTTTTCCTTTCAGAAGGTGGAATTTACTCTTGGGATCAAAAGAAAGAATACCTCTTTACTGTTCATATTTTATATTCAATCCTACCTCATTACTAACCAATTTAAAATTTTCACTCTGGGAGCAAATGCAGCCTACCATAAGGCGCACTATAATCAATGGTAAGGCCATCATTAGGGCAGGTAAACAACCGAATCGGAATGAATACCTCACTATTGGAATTCAAATTTGACCCATTTTCACATGTTCGAATTTGCGTTCATATTCGACTGAATACCAAAAGGCCATTCAAATTCGATTAGACAACTTTTATTAGCATTCGATAAGTATTCGCGAACATCCTTTTAGCAAAAAAAATGATTTTTAACTAGGGGGCTGGGGCCGGGCAACGCCGAGTGAGGCAGTGAGAACGAGCGTCGATTGGGAAGAGGGCGTCGGAGACTAGAGGCTTAAGGGGAAAGAGAGCGAGGGCCGATGGGACGTGAAACGATTGGAGATTCACGGGCGGGGCCGATGGGATTGTGAACGATTGAATTCACGGGGCGCGATGGGGATGGAATGATGAAGATCCACGGGGAAGATGAGCGTCGAGCCTTGATGGGGCAAAGAATGAGGGCAGCTGAGGGGGAGTCAGAGACGAGAGCTGAGAGGGCGGAAAAGAGTCCAGGAGTCGGATACAGAGACCTCAGAAGAGAGAGCGATCCACCATCGACTGATCCCTAAATTCGAGGTGGATAGAGAAAATGAGAAAGCCCTAGCCCTAGAATTCCCTCTTAGCTATTTATATGGGTAACATTCGTAAATAAAAATGTAGATAAGTACCCTAGCCCTAGAATTCCCTCTTAGCTATTTATATGGGTAACATTTGTAAATAAAAATGTAGATAAGTAATATTTGCAATAAGTTTAATCAGTAGGACTAAAATGTAAAAAGCTATGGAATAGTTAATAACCAACCGAATCGAATGCACCTTTGGTAAAATTCTATTTGTTTATATGTTGAATACTAAAAATTATTTGTTTAGTACTGAATCAACTATCGAATTGAACTTGACCGAATATATGGGCGAATAACCGAACTGTTTATTAATTACTCGGTTCACTTCCACCCCTAGCCACCAAACACCAACTACTTATAAGATGCTATAACAGAAAAGGATCCATTAAACTCTCATTTCCAAATAACATCGTTTGATAATTATGAAGGAATCAAGCAACTCCAGTAAATTTATATCTTAATACACCAAATTGCCAGGAAGTAGCATAATAAAAGAATTCTCCTACTTCAGTTTCCATTTATATATAATTTCTCTGATCAAGAACTGTAGGCTAAGGTTAGGAAACTAAAGCAAAAAGATCAAGGTAAATGGCGGACAAGCTATAATCCCCGATCTATGTATCTATCCCCAAAAAAAATGTTTTATCCCCCACTCCAAAATCAGTTCTTGAACTAAGCAAAAATAAATGTAGAGTTTTTACAATATTTCTCTCAATTGACAGAAAGCCCCTACAAGATTTTAAGAAACTTCTATAAAATTCTTTGTAAGAATACTCACTCCATAAAAACTTGTTTCCACACCATTTCATAAGGCTGAAACCACTTCCGTATCTATTTAATTTCTCAAAAGAGCTGTATTCATGGACGTTAAATGTCCAACGCTCATAGCCCTCCACACTCTTTAGGCTAATAAACTTCCGCCATGCTACAAGATTTGAAAACCATGGTTATCAGATGAACCACTGCAGAAAAATCATCTTCTCGTCTGGTCAATTTTCACAGAAACCTGACAGGAAATCGTATAGAAAGACGTCCACATATGAATTTATTAAGGTGAATTATTGTTTCTCAATGAACACTTTAGGAAAATTTCATGAAGGTCAGCTCTTGTTTCTCAAAGAACTACTCGCCGTGGTATGTATGTCGCAAGAAGCATGCCGAATTCGAGTCATTTACTATGAAAAATTTTTGGAAACTAAAGCAAGTACCAAGATGATGTCAAGATGCTCATTACTATTTTTCCAAAAACTTTGAAATCCTAAGTTGATATAATATGCCTTGGCAAGAACAACTAGACTCAATTTCTATAAATACATGAATATCTTTTGTGCATGTATGTGCGTATATCTAGATATAAGAAATAAATTGAACAGAACAAAATTTTCTGTGCTAATTCTAAATCTCTTATCTGCTGGAAAAATAAAGGGCAGCCATCTGTGCATCTCCGCCTCGGACAGAAATTGATAAATTTATAAACTTATACTACTGGTCTGTATGGAAAACATGACCAAGAAATGAAGTGCTCAAATAGAAAAGTTCAGACTCACAAACATGATAAACCCTTTAGCTAGCGGAGTTATTATATGGAAAATAGTATATACGAAAAGAACAGGTACGAAGTTAACTCTTCACCAAATCTATTATGCTCATGTAGCTCCCACAATGAAGAGAAATCACCATTTCATTATGCGCAAGAAAAATAAGATAATGAATAAAATTGCTTCACTGTTTTCTTGCACCACTTCAGTTAAAAAATTCAAGTCAACCTAGGCTTTTTGCAAATTGCAATTCAATGTTAGTGACTTCATCCCAATAAACAGCAACCAGTAATCAATCAAACAGACTCTAGTTTGATGTTTTGTAGTTGAATAGATTAACTCCAGGAGATTTCTGTTAAGAAAAAACTAAAGTAACATTGTTTTAACTCAAAAACATGAATATGTCAGTCTAATGTCAGTTTACTAGTTATCTATCAAATAAAAGAACTGTCAAGTGTGATATGCAAACCTTGCTATTCTAAGCATATTAACCCGCCTCAAAGAACATAATCATAAATTCATAATGCTCGATATCATACATAGATTTACAGACTAGTATGCATGGTATCATCAAGATACTTATCAAAATCTAAAGCTGCCACTAGTCCCAAATATCAAATAGATCAGAAAAAGTTTCCATGAAATTATATAAGATAGGTGGACCCATAAATCAAACTCATGTCTACTAAACCATAATAACATAGAAACGTCAAAATTCTCTTAAACGATCATCACACTTGTACACGTGCAAAGAATCCTCATAACATTATAAAGGCAAAAACAAACATCTTCCTCACACTGATTTTATTCTAGACTTTGGTGCCAAATACAGCTTATAAGTATTTATATGGAAGAGATCTCACTTTGCGTCAAATTTCAAAGCTTGGAAGGCTTGGGGAATATATCTGGTGTGAACTTTTGAGCCGCACTCAAGCTGCCTTTGATCTTCATAGCACCTCTGCACCCAAAAAATAAAAATAAAACAACGTAAAAAAATTCCTAGTTGGGGGGAAGAAGGCCGGTTCACTGGGCAGTGTATGGGATTGGGGTTAGAGGTGGAGAAAGTATCTACTGATTCTCAAAGAAAGTATTCATGCAACTGTTTTAATGGATCGGTGCACAAATCCCCAAGTCTCCTGATCGCATGCACCATTAATCCTATGGACAGGACAACTGTACACTTTCTCATTGGGGTAGGCCGGCGGTTGCAGAGAGGTTACAATTTTATGCATAAATGGAAAAGAAAATTTTCCAAGGACCCAAAATATGGGACTAAAATATGGGACAAACAGGAACAGGGAACAGGTAAGGTGTCACCCTTCTATTGCATAACAAGCTAGCAAAGCTCAATGGAAAATCCTCTAATGTAACTTTTTTGTCGAACAAGTCTTTTCGCTATTCTTCACAGTACAATTACCCTCTGAGGAGATTCTCTCTCTCTCTGGGTCAAACAGTACATTTCATGAACTATTTCCCCTAGATTCCATAGTGCCTATCTCTAAGCACCATTAAGCAATAATTTAACGTTTGAAGCAAGGCATAATGGCGCCACAAGTGCCTTAACGATGACAGTACTAACATATGAACAATGCTCCGGATCAATTGATTCTAAGCATATTTCAATACTTTAGCTCCTACCTCAACTAATGCATAAAAAACAGAATCCAATTCCTCACCTGATGAAAGCCATCTGGGGATTCATTTTCCCGCTCGCAACGGCAAGAAAGTCGTCATCTTTAAACGAGAAAGTGGCGTCAGGCTTCCCTTCGTACGGACCTAGTCCCATAAAATCCGAGGTCGAGGTCAGAATAAAAAAAAAAGCTCAAAATCAACTCAATTTGGGGTGGGGAAGAACAAATCTGAGGCGTCCACCTTTGGAAACCCTGCCCTCCTTGAGATCTACGACGAAGATCTCCTCGCCCACGCCCAGCTTCTGCGTAATTCGGACGAAAAAAGACACACTGAGACCGGGACTTTCGAGATCAGAGAAGAGATTAAAAAAAAAAGATGATGGGTTAGGGTTAGGGTTCTGAGACCTTGGGGGCGATGTTGAGCTGGTAGACGAGGCCGACCTTGTCGACGAGCTTCTTGCCCTCTTCCGTGGCGAGGTGGAGCTTCATCTGCTCAAGGAGGGCGGCGGATTTTAGAGTGCTCGATGAATCCGCCATCTCTCTCTCTCTCTCTCTCTCTCTCTCCCCCTCCTTTTTCTTTTTTTCCTTTTCTTGAATTGGAGCTTGTTCGATTTTGATATGAAAAGGGGCGATGGGAAATTAATTTGGGAGGATGGAGGGAGTATGGGGGCAGTTGGGAAGTAGTAACGACGCAACAAGGGTGTCGTGTTTGTTGGGGGACGCGAGAGTAGGACAAATTTTCAAAACCATCCCATTTTGAAATTTATTTATAAAAAACGATCCTTTTTAGCCTTAATTGCAAAAACCGACCCAGTTTGTTAAAACTGAGTTGGTTTTTGAAAAAAAAATTCCAAACTTCACGGGAGTTCAACTCCCGTGAAGTTTTTTCTCATAACAAAACTTCACGGGAGTTCAACTCCCGTGAAGTTTGAAAAAAAAAATTCAAAAACCGACCCAGTTTCAACCAACTGGGTCGGTTTTTTACAATTAAGGCTAAAAGGGGTCGTTTTTTATAAATAAATTTTAAAATGGGATGGTTTTGAAAATTTGTCCCGCGAGAGTACCCAAAATATGGGACCGGGGACGGTGGACAAGTAAGGTGTTCCACTCCTATTGGATAATGAGTTGGTCATCATTAATGATGGTAAACTCATTATCCAACAGGAGGGGGACACATCACTTAAGACGTGAGAATTTAGATGATGTCTACAAATATACTAGCATTATTATGTTTTATACATTACTAATCACGATATATCGACATGAATACAAAAATCTTTTATATTTATGAAAATTGAATAGTGGGTGAAGAGGCTAAGATGGAGGGGTGTTAAACCGTATCTTTATCATAGGAAATAACTCTAATCTAATCGTATCTGTTGGGATACGTATATAGTTACTCATATCTATCACCGACATGATATGGTTACAGATACGGTTTTTGTAGTGAAATACTTGGATTCCTATTCGAAATATCTATTAGGATAATTTGATTCCTTATTTTATAGATTTGAGGTTAATTTTGATGACCAAGATATTTAATTTGAGCTTTTCAGATGTCATGGACGTATTAATGAACTCTTCTGTATCGCATGAACTATATTTTTTTAAATACTATATAGTTTTCTCATACCCATTTTGCATCCGCATGCATAACCACATATATATTGGCATGTGTTATCCGTATCCGATTTTAGCGGATATGAATATGAATTTTCCTTATCGATGTATACACGTATCCGTATCGGTGATGGGTAAATAGATATGAATATGATAAGTATTATATCCAGACCGAATGCACCCCTAGAAAGAGGGAATGTGATATGTGATGCAAGAGGCGTTTAAATATAGAACAAGCTTACGAAAATCAGTCATCTCTCAATTAGACTGCTTGACGCGAGTCTAATATCGACGACGACTATTCGTTCTCAAGTCACTTTTCCCAACTTCATGAACTGCCACGTCATGATTGCTCGACTTAGCTAATTGAAGATGGCCAATTAAGATGAAGCTGGGTTGAATTGAGTTGAAGAGCATGAGGCTCGTGTAGGAAACAACCCCTTGCTTTCTTGCCTCGTATAAGCCCCTCTTAATTTGTGAAGAAACCCTAGATAAAATCTCTCTCATATTGTCTTCGACGTTTTAAGTCTTTCGTTATATTTTGAATTTGTCACCTGAGCGTCAGGGGGTCTTGGCCAGAACCCAGTTCAGAATACTCTCTCTCTCTCTCTCTCTCTCTCTCTCTCTCCGAGTGCAGATCAAGAAATACATTACATTCGCCCAAATGTCAAGGTGAAACTAAAAACATAATAATCTTAAACTACAGACTTGAAACACATTAGTCGGTTAATTTAGCGCATAATAATCACATAGAAGCATATGAAGGAGCTCGCAATTGATCTAATATCCGTAACCGGCTCTTTTCATCATCCTCATGAATTCATCAACATCAACTTCTCCATCTCCTGCGCATTCAAATAATGTAAATGATGTATTAGAACCTACAAAATGAAGTGATATTCCATCCAAAACAAAAACAAAAACCTACGAAATGAAATACTAAAAGCAATGCCCTCAGAATGAATGGAATCTAAGTGCACTGCAATTTTACTAAAATCAGAGGATAATCGGGATGAAGCATAAACCAGGCATAACCTGGGTCCTATTTCACCACATACTGTCAAAATAGAGAACAGATAAACAACCGCATGCTTTTTGCTATGACTATTTTTGAATATCATCAGTAGGCACAAAACCAACAACTCACGTACTCCCAACAGACCATTTTAGCAAATTACTTCAACAAGATTAAACCAAAAATGCTCAATCAGATCCAACCACGGTGGAGTTAATAAAAGGTTGTACACGGAGTTGGAAAGAGCCTCCGAGGTTAAAGCGGAAAAGAGGGGGGGGGGGGGGGGCATAGATACAGAGCATGAGTAGTCTCACAGATAGCTTGACCCGACTATGTTACATAAATGTGTGGAAACACATCCATAAGGATTTTCTGGAAATAAAAATGATTTAACAATCGGAATTTCATCAAAGGATATTAAGTCATTTGAAGAATGTTTATGCCACCGGAACAGAATCCCTTAGTGGATTAATCAATTTATGGCAATAAAAAAATATGACACGATAATCAAGTACATATGTACGTCATAAAGTAAATTAGAAAATAGTAATAAAAATACAAATACATGGAGGAAGACAGAAAAACTTTGAAATGAACTGGAAGGGAAAAGAAAAAATGCAAGACAGATGGGTTAGGGAAACTGAACAGATCAGCAATTTAAAAGGGCAGCAAAACTCAGTGACCTCGAATAATGCAAGTTGATATCAAGTGAAAATGACAGCTTCAAAACTAGGATGGAACAGGATGCCAGCAACAAAAGAATGATACATAGTTCAAAAGGAAGGAAACAAGCTAGACATTTTTTTGGGCGTGACGTATAAGTCCTTAATATTTGGCTGCTGAGGACCTAGCTTCAGAACATAAATGGCAAGGAGCCCATAGTTCCTTCCTGGATGTAGTGCTTGTTGCTCATCACTAGTCTTTAACGTCATCTTGATAAATTTTCACTCAAATGGTGATGCATATATAGGGCTCAGCTACCAGATACATAATTACACCTATGTTGTAATTCATATAAACAATAAATCCTAGGTATAAGTAATGCTTCCATTAACTCCACAACATTAAGGCAGTTTGTTTTAGACATAGGGGAAAGCTATAGTTTTAGCACAAGTAATTTAATACTGGCAATCAAATTCTCTAAAATTTTAGATTGTTCATAGATAATGAATTATCCTGCTATAGTGTTGAAAAGAAATGAAAAGAACATTCCATGCACTAAATAGTGCTTGATGTGAACAACTCAGCTGAGTTTGGATTAAAAGGTTCATGATGTAAGTAGCAGTATACGAAGCCTCTTGTAGGAAACAGTTAGAAGCAAAACAGGTTATATCATCTTTCGGTTTTCAGAAAATTATAGGCAAAAATTCTCACCATTGCGGTCAGCCTCGTCTATCATCTCTCTAATTTCATCAAGTGTGAAACTTTCACCCAAATCTTTAGCAACACGCATGAAGTC